GTTTCTTGAGGCCTCCCCAGCCATGTGGAACTGTGTGTCAATTAAACCTCTTTCCTTTACAAATTACCTAGTCTCAGGGACGTTCTTTATAGCAGTGTGAAAACAGGTGAATACAATAGTGCATAAGATTTGAAAATACGTGTTTGTATTATTTCTGGCTTCTTCTGACCCAGTCTTTATTATTTGCCTTATCCTGTCTCACTTAGCTCTTATTTATGTTACTTTGTACTTTCTGTGTCCTTGTAAGGGTGCCTTATGTTCTTCTTGGAACCAGACAGTGTATAAATACATGAATAAATATAGAAAGCACCTGGTTTTCTGAGCCTCTGGCTCCACATCACACTTCACTGCTTCTCAGCCTTTTGGCTCAATCCAAGTGCAGGGTAATGGCAGGCTCTGTTTCTGTGCCGGATGGTGCCCCATGACTGCCCTTAGGACTGCTCTTCATTTTTGGCTTTGTGCTCTGACTCTTCAGTTTGGTTTCCTAACCTTCTCTTGTCCAACCATAAATCCTGATGTCCCGCATCTCTACTGCCCACCTCCTCCTCACACTAAGTCTGGATTTTGCTTTCTGAGATCCACAGTCTCTGCCCCACTCTGGTTTTCACCAACATCTGTAGGAATCTTTTCTAGCCTGCCTTCCATGGTATTTCAGAGCTCTGGGGAGGCAGTGTGGTGTGGTGGTGTTGGTGTCATTTGGATTTGGATTGGTGCAATCATCCCTCCATTCATCCAGCCACGCCCCCATCCAGTCTTCCATTCACCCACCACTCTGCGTGTGTGTGTGTGTGTGTGTGTGTGTGTGTGTGTGTTTGTGTTGGGGGGGTGTTGGTCATGTGCCAGGTACTGAACTAAGTACTAGGAATATGATAGTGAACCAGAGATACAAATTCAACCCAAGCTCTGACACTTGCTCCTTGTGAAAAAGTAGGCAATTATTTAATTTTTCTGAGTTTCCAATTTTTAATCTGTAAACTGTGAATAGTAATACCTACTGGCTGAAGTCATTTCAAGAGTAAATGCTATAACATAAGAAAAGAACATGGCCCAGGGTGTGGGCCCAGGTAGCACTCCATGACACAGTAGTTCTTACTGTTAGGCATCTGGTCACACACGAGGGCAGCCCCCCTCTTGCAACTCTCTCACAAGATGTTTTAGGGTATCCACTTTCTACCTGTTTCATCCATTAAACCACTGTCATTTGTATTTTGTTTTCCAGAAATTTGCTGCAGTTTCTCATTCACTGAGGCTCTGCATTTCTGTTCTCTCCCATTATGGATTTATTTCTCTTTGTATTTGCAAAACAGAAAACGCTGTTGGCAATGAATGGCAGTACTATGGCTTGCGAAACAGCTGAACTGCACCAAACCCATAACAGGTAAGATAATCTAAGCTCAAACTCATGGGTTTATAGTTACTGTATTGACAGTAAACCCCTGTGGACTCACCTAAGACCACTGATGGTTCCAGCAACTGCCTAATTTCCAAATTCTGACTGATCCCTGCTTCGGCCATGTGCTCTGAGCTCTGCTTTGTAAGTAGCCTCTGTGAAGTGGTTCCCTCCTTTGCTTTGCAAGTCTAATAGAAAACCTTGCTGGTGGTCTCTGGGGTTGGCGGGGGGCAAGGTGGGCTTTGGCACATTTATATTTTGGTGGAGAGAGGCTCTCTCAAGAGAGATGGCAGACAAATATATGTGTCTAGTCTGCTATTGTAAACCAGAAGTCTCAACTATATTTTTCGTTCTTTCTTTCTTTCTTTTTTTAGACCTGGGATCTCACTCTGTTACCTAGGCTGGAGTACAGTGGTGTGATCTTGGCTCACTGCAGCCTCAACCTCCTGGCTCAAGCAATCCTCCTATCTCAGCCTCCTCAGTAGCTGTGACTAGAGGGGTGTATCACCACACCCACCTGGCTAAGTTTTTTGATTTTTTTTTTTTTTTTTTTTTTTGTGGCGATAGGGTCTCGCTAAGTTAAGACCAGTGCCTGGGCTGGTCTCAAACTCCTGGGCTTAAGCGATCCTCCTGCCTTGGCTTCCCAAAGTGCTGAGATTACAGGTGTGAGCCACTGTGCCTGGCCTCCACCAACATTTTTTAGCTGGCAAGGTAGCACCACAAACAAACAAATAAAAAATACAGATACGTGTGGAATGATGGTGCCCCATTTGCCTTTATGCTCTCAGGCAATGTGAGTTGAATGAAGTCCCCAATGGGAGAGGTTCAGGGGCCCAGAGCTTTTGAGAAGCAGCAGGAGGAATGCCTACCAAACTTGGCCCCTTTCTCCACACCCACCTCTCTCTGCCACTGTCCACACCATGCCTAGTGCTCCATGCTAGCAAAGGGGGCAATCATCAGTGGCGGCTGAAGGTTTAGTGAGAACCACCTGGATTCAGGAGTTTTGCAGGAAGTGACTGTGGCTTCAGATTTAATGAGAAGCATGAAGGCAGATGAACGTGGAGGTGGGCTCCCTCCTTCACACAGGTTCTGCTTGTTAAGGTCACAAATAACTTCTGCTAGCTTCAGAGATTATGCTGGTTGTCTGATCTCTCAGCAGGCCTGAGTGGTGTTGTTTCAGTGACTGTGTACATGATCTGAATGTTCAATGCTAGAAGGAGCAGTTGATGGTGGTTCACTTGTGCAAATCATCCCTGAACAATTAAAAGGATGGATTCCATCCACTCATGCATTTTCCTTTATGGCAAAGATGATTCTAGGAAGAGGACTTCTGCTGCTTCTATGAGAGTTGTACTGATGAGTGTTGCCTCATTGACAAATGAGAAAAAGTTAGCTTCTTCTGATAATTATTGCTAGAGGCTGTGAATCTATGGTCAAGCTGTCAGGCAGGCAATGAGAGTGGTGTGTATCAAGTTGTAATTGTGGCCTCAAGCAGGGCGTGTTTTCAGGAGACCGACTCTGGGATGGGCCACCAGTTGTTAAAATATTTGGTGCTTCTGTGCTGGTTAGGAAGTAGCCATTGCCCCGAGTCCTGAATGTTCTCTGCCTGTCCTGTCACCTCTCAGACCTCATACCACCCAGCAACAAAGGCTAACCTGGCACACTGGGGGCCAAGACCCTGCCCCAGCACTCAGTGCCTTGCCAGGCCCTGTCCTACTTGTTATTGACTACTTGGAATACCGCTCCTCGTCTTAAGTATTTTTGATGTCCCAGGAGAAGGGAATGAGGATTATAAACTTAAATTGTGGAGTCGTGGCTATTGGTCAGAGGGACACTCTGTATGCCCTGCACTGGTGGCTCATCTCTGAGGAATGAAACTTTGAAAAGTGAAGATGATCCCTAAGGAGAGAAAATCAATTAGGACTCACAGCTGCTGACTCCAAGCTTCAGAAGGGATGCTGCAGTGACGGGTGAGGGGTTGGGGGTGTCAGAGAGGTTTCTTAGCTGGGATGGTGGACAGAGCCATCTGCGGTGGCCCACAGAGGAGAGAAATAGAAAGAAAGACAAAATAGCAAAGATGTTTTCATGGAGTGGCATAATGTGGGCAAAAGGTTGAATGAAGCTCACCAGTCCAGTGAATTATGAGGGTGACCACACATCATTGCTCCTGTCCCACTCCCCCCACCCAACTCCAGCCACAGTGGCCTCCTTGCCATTCCTCAAACACAGCAAATCCCTTTTGCCCCAGGATCTTCCCTGCTCCCTCTGCCCAGACCCTGCCCGCTAGCTACCTGCCTGGCTCTCTCCCTCCCCTTCTCCAGGTCTTTCTTAAATGCTACTTCTGCGCTGTGTGTTTGTGTGTGTGGGGCACTCCACAGACTGCCTGACACATGCATATGCAACCATCCCCCTTCCCTGCTTCATTTGTCTTCCTAGGAATTGTCACCACCAAAAAGATGCTATATAGTTTGCATTTACTCTATTTATTGCTCTATTCCCCCTATTATAACATGATGGAAGCTCGATGTGAACAGAAACTTTTTGGTCTGTTTTGTTCACTGTTGCCTCCAGAATACTGAGAAGAGCACTTTAGTGGGCACTCAGTGAATATATGTTGATTGAATGCATGAAGAAACTAAGGACTTCATGGCTACCATGAATCAGGCATTGTGTTATGCTCCATACATTTCTCATGGAAGCCTCAAAGGGCTGCCTCAGATGTGTGTCAGGGGCTGCCTCTTCCATTTGTAATTTTCATTAACTTAAATAGCCACACAAGCCTAGGATTACTCTACTGGACAGGGCAGTTCTAGCATAAGAGGCATAAACAAGTGGACCTCATGTACTCCCACTGGGCAGACAGGAGTGCTTAAAGTCACCCAGTGCCCTTGGCAGTGTATAACTCCCAGGGATAATTTCTGGGTTCTGGATCAAGCCCACGCTAATGCTCCCTTTTCATTTTGTCTTGGCCTGACCAGGGCCAGGATCAAGATGATGAGTGATGAATTTGCCTGGGGTGTAAAATTTAAGAGATTATCAAAAAACTCATGAAGATAGTTATACAATATTTTAAAAATCAAAATTATTGCAAAAAAGTTCATGATGAACAAAATATCAACATTTTACGTAAAGATGGGGTAAATATTACTGGTTTGTCCTTTTGCCTGAAGCTCCAGTATAGCCTGCCATGCACTGTGGTGCTTATGCAGTAACACAGCAGACAGCTTGTACCAATGGCCAAAGGAGAAGTGAAGACAGTAGATCTTCAAGTGTGTGATGTGCTTTCAAGGGCAATGTGGACTGTTGGGTGTTTTTAAATGTAGAATGGAATTACCTGGGATTTTGTCCTGAATCAAATTCTTCCCATGTCTTTGATCTGGAGAGCATGCAGGCTGGGGTGCATAGATCTCAGATGGAGATGACAGGAGAGGAATGATGCTAACTGGGAAACTGTTGGTGTGTGGCTTGGAGCTCATTACAATATATATCAGGAGATGCCACAAAAGTGTACCAAAGAAAATAAACAGCACATTTAATCCAGGCATTTTTTTCTTTACTATATTAAGACTATTAACAAATTTTAAGTGATGCTCTTTTCTTTTTTTTTTTTTTTTGGACATATGAGTTTAATTACCTGCTAGGTTTTTAGATGAAAATATATGGTAAATGGATGGAAACAAGGTGCATAAACTTAGGAGGCAGAAATTTTTAAACTTTAGACATTCATCAGACTGGACAATATTTGACATTTAAAATAAAACTTTTTGCCACAACAAAACAAATGTATTAAAACTAGTTTCCAGAACTGCCCAAATAACTTTTTAAACATTATTTAAACGTCAGTTTTTCTTTGGCAAATCTATCCAAAATACTAATTTTCCTTTTAGAACTTAGTTTATAATTTATATATTAGAGTGCCCCTAACTGATGTGCATCGGAATACCTTCCTCTGAGCCCTAATGGTTTCTATCTGCCTTTTAAAATGCACAAGTATCTTTTAATTAAGTTGTCATTATCAAAGATATTCTGGAGCAAATATCAAGAATTAAACATTTATAAATTCTTCTTCACTTCTGTTGTAGTGTAGCAATTTATCATCTAACCCATAGTGGTCTATCAATTGAGTAAGGCTTAGTTTCTTCTTCTCTTCAGACACAGCTGACTGCAACTCATAAAGCAACAGTTGGCTACAGCTTCTCCACTTCTTTATTAACAACTGTAACTGAGACAGATCATTCTTTGATCTATACATTTTGACTAGTTTTAGCCTCCGAAGAAGGTCTTCTTTTTCCTGAACCTGCTTCATCAATTTGGCTTTTTCATCGCTTAATCTTTGTTTAGGAAGATTCTCATTCACAAGCTCATTTTGGAGAGCACTGCATGACCCAGAATTAAGCGACTGAGATTCACAGACACTGAGATTCTTCAAACTATTTTCTTCAAATTCACTGTCTATGTATTTAAAACTTTCTTGAAATTCCAAACAGTTTTCCTCTGTGGAAGATGCTGGTTTCCCTGAAAAGGTCTGATCATTTTCTTCATTCTCTACTTTAAGACGTTTCACCACATTGTAACAGGAATTAAATGAAGATCTTGATTTCCTTAATCTTTCTCTAAGTGTTGCACTCATAGGCTAGAAACACAGAACGGATCCACTGGAAGAACGAAAATTTTCATACTTGTTTTCGTGAACTACTTGTATAGGGAGATGATGGAATTGCAGAGACCTGAGGAGTGTGAGGTAAAACCGCAGCTGAGTCTGATGGACTTTCCATCTTGAAAATGAAATTTTGGTTTTTCTCTGCCCGAGGCATAAAAAAAACACAACGGAGATGCCGTTACGCCCATCCGCAGCCTTTTAGTTTAAGCAGGGAATACGCACTGAAAAGGAGAGTGCACTGAAACGACTTCCTCCAACAGAGGCACAAGCTTGTGCGGGGCAAACCAGAGGCGGGAGCCCCTCCTTCCCCCGCTGCAGAAAGCCCACTAGATCCCCGGAGGCTCCAGGCATGAGGTTAGGTTCAGTTCCCCCGACCCGGAAAGGGAGTTCCACTCGACTCCACAGCAGCCTCCCAAGGAAGTCCAGGTCTCAGGTAACCCCATTCCCCTCAGAAGGGTACCTCCCCCCGCCATCCCCAGAGAGAGCAATGATGCTATTTTCTTATAATAAATTAAATAAGGGAACAGACATATAAAGAAAGCTAATAATTTTTTCACTCCACCGAAAATTCATTCTCACCAAGACAAAATATGTTTCTAGTTCTTATTATTTATATTAGTTCTCATATTGCTAATAAAGACATACCCAAGACTCAGTAATTTATAGAGGAAAAAGGTTTAATTGACTCAGTTCAGCATGGCTGGGGAGGCCTCAGGAAATTTACAATCATGGCAGAAGCAGAAGCAAACATGTCCTTCTTCACATAGCGGCAGGAAGGAGAAGTGCCAAATCAAGTGGGAAAAGCCCCTTATAAAATTATCAGATCTTGTGAGAAATCACTGTCACAAAAACAGCATGGAGGAAACTGCCCCCATAATTCAATTACTTCCACCTGATCTCAACTTTGATTTGTGGGGATTATTACAATTCAAGGTGAGATTTGGGTGGGGACACAGCCAAACCATATCACCACACTTCTTGGTTTTATTTAAGGTTTTGACAAAACGATATCATATTGCACATATTAATACTCTGCAACTTCTTATTCTTAATATACTTGGGACAAACCTATCACTCTTCTTTTAAAATTAAATTTTATTTATTTTCATAAAAATAATACATGCACATGTTAAAAAAATTTAAAAGGGAATTGGTGTTATTTGGTGAAAATTGTGTTCCTTTTATTCCTGTGCCAAAGCCACTAATTTCCCCTCCACAGAGCAATCACTGTTATCAGTTCTCTTTTGAAGCCCTGCAGAGCTGTTCTATGTCTGAAAATGTGTTCTGTTCTGGGTAGAATTCTCACACTGTCTTCAGTTGCTTTTTTCACTTAATAATATATCTTGGAAAGTGTTCCTTATCAGTATGTAAAACTGCCTCATTCTTTATTATTATTATTATTATTATCATTATTATTATTATTATTATTTGGTTTCATTCTTCTAAATGGCTGCCTGGCTTTCCATTATATGGATATACAAAATGTATTTAATGTACTTCCTATGGAAATTCAGCTAATTTTTTAGCTTCTCTGGCATTTACAAACAATGTTGGAATGAAAAACCTTGTAATTATATCACTTTGCATACATGTATATTTATTTGTGGGATACATTTCTTGAAAGGGACTTGCTAGGTCCATTTGTGATCTTAATTTTGACATTTATAGTCCAGTTGTTCTCCAGAGAGGCTGTGCCACGTATAGTTCCACCGGTAAGACTGGACCCAAATCCCCACACTCTTGCCAACATGCCGAGTCATTAAACTTTCTGTCCCTTGCCAATATGATAGGTGAAAACTGGTATCTCAGGGTAGTTTTAACTTTGCATTTTTCTTCTTATGAGGGAGATTGAGTATGTTTTCCAATTTTAAGGAGATTTAATTTTTTCTGTGAAATATGTATTAGCATCCTATGCTCATTAGAAAGTTTGGATTTATTCATTCTTTTCAATGTTGATTCATGAGACCTCTTTGTATGTTACAGAATTTTGCCTTTTGTCTCAAATGCAGTCTTTTAGATAGCTACATAATATTATATAGTATCTATGCTTATTGTTAGATATTCACTTTTTTCCCCTGGGACTTGTTTGCCTGGGCAAATAATGTTGCAAAACTCTCCTGTTATATACATATGAACGTGTACTTTCATTTTTGTAGGGTATATTTCCCAAAGTGGGATTGCTTGTTCTAGAAATAAATGTATTTTAATTTTAATACATATTATCAGATACTTTTTCAAAATTCTGACATAATCACATTCCCATCCTTAGCGGAAGGAAGTGTCTGCTCCCCTGCATCCCAGTCAACACTAGCTGTTACTGCTCTCTTACATTTTGAAGCAGTAAATGGTGTCTTCTTATGGTTTTACTGTATATTTATCTGACCACCAGCGATGTTGAGCATCTTTTAATATGTTTATCGGCCATTTGCATTTTCTGTTCTATGAGTTGCATGTTCATATCCCCTACCTGTTTTTTCCCCCCTGGATTTTTGGTTTGTTTTCTATCAGTTTGTAGGGACTTTGTGTGTACAGTCAGTCCTCTGTATCCTCAGGTTCCACATCTGCAGATATAACCAGCCATGAATAGAAAATATTCCAAAAATTAAAAAATAAAAAAATGTTGAGAATAAAAAATACAATTAAATTAAAAACAATACAGTATAACAACTCTTTACATAGCATTTATATTATATTAGAAGTAATCGACAGATGATTTAAAATATACAGGGGGATGTAGGTTATATGCAAATACTATGCTACTTTACAGAAGGGATTTTAGCAAATCCTTGGGATCCTGGAACTAATTCCCCCACAGATACTGAGGGAGACTATATTAGCAATATTAAAGTTTTATTGGTAGTGAGTATTTTTTCCACTCTCTTATTTATTTCTGCATTTTGTTTATAATTTTTACTAAGTGAATTTGAATTTTTATGCTGTCAAACATATCTTTTAATATATGGCTTCTGAGCTTCCTGGCATTATTAAGGAGGTGCTCTACTCTTTCTGTAAAGGGCCAAATAGTAAGTATGTCAGGTGTTATGGACCGTGCGGTCTCTGTCCCAACTACTCACGTCTACCATTGTAGCTTGAAAGCCACCATAGACAAAAGAAATGAATGTGGCTGTGTTTTAAGAAAGCCTTATTTATAAAAGCAAGTGGTAGGCTAGGTATGGTGGCTCATGCCTGTAATTCCAGCACTTTGGGAGGTCAAGGCAGGTGGATTACTTGAGGTCAGGAGTTGAGACTAGCTTGGCCAACATGGTGAAACCTGTCTCTACTATTAGCTGGGTGTGGTGGCACGTGCCTGTAATCTCAGCTACTCGGGAGGCTGAGACAGGAGAATCACTTAAATCTGGGAAGTGGAGGTTGCAGTGAGTGGAGACCATACCACTGCACTCCAGCCTGGGCAAAAAAGCAAAACTTTGTATCAAAAACAAACAAACAAATGCAAGTGGTGTCCTGCTGGCTGTAATTTGTTGACCCTTGTGTTGAAGTGAAAGTCTAATGACAAAATCCTTCATTCACATCCTCTGAAGGTTCTCTATCTCACTTAGATGAATACAAGTTAAAAAATACTCAATTTCAACTTTGTTACCTCTCTGTCTTCATCTTCTACAACTCTCCCCTTGGTCAATCTGCTCTAACTGCAATAGCCTCTCTTTGTTCCTTGTACCCACCAGACAAACCCCAAACTAGACTCTCTTTCTTTGCACTTGTTTTTCCCACTGCTTAGGATGCTCCTCCCACAGATATTTGCATTAATCTTTTCCTCACTTCCTTCCTGATTTGGTTCAAATTTCAGCATATCAGGAGTCCTTCCCCAGCCACCCTATTCAAAATTTAACCCCTGTTCTGTCCCATACTTTCTATTCCTCTTTCCTGCTTTTTTTCTTTTAATTCACCACTAATATTGTATAGTTTACTTATTTATAATATTGATCATTTCCTCTCTTAAAATATAAGTTTCACAGGGGCAAGAATTTTCATCTGTTTTGTATTCTTGCTGCTAAGAAAAGTGTTTGGTATATAGTCATTTTTGTTGAATAACTGAATATATATAATAGAGAGGGGGAACTGAAGATACAGAGAGAGAGAGACAGATAGACAGAAAGAAGTGGGGGGGTGATATCAGGAGGAAAGTCCTTGAGAATGAGAAATAACCAGCTTTTAGGAAAGCAGAGATGCTTCTTCATTGAAGTTAGAGAAGAAAGGGGTGCCTGAGCAAGATGGTCTATACCAGGGCTTCTCAGTCTTGGCACTATTGACATTCTGGGTTAGCTAGTCCTTTATAGCTGGGAGCTGTCTGCTGTAGGATATTTAGCAGCATGCTGGCTAAGAGATACTAGGAGTAGGCACCCCCTCCATCTGTGACAATCAAAAATGTCTCTAGACATTGCCAGATGTTTCCTGGGGAGAACAATTTCCCTTGGTTGAAAACCACTTGTTTCTTTATTTGACTATGAAGGATCTTTTTAGTGATGGCTCTTATTTCCTCAGTCACATGTAAGATGCAGTCATCAGGTAAGAGTTTGGGAGAAAGAAGTAAGAGGTTTGAAGAAAGAGAAGGCATGTAGTCGTGATCTCAGAGTGGGAAAAGACAATGGTGAATAAGAAATAGGTTTGCCTCCTTCCTGGCCCTGATGAACATGAAGTGGGGTGAAAAATAGCCTCTTCGTTGGAGGGCTGCAGGTTCTTGGTGGACAACCATTCAGAGATAGGTTTCTGATCACAGACTAAGAGTTTTATACAGCTCAGAGAAAAAATTTGGGAGGGAGTGGGGATTGGATGGGATTAGGCTTGTTAAGTATAGTGTGGAGGCTGAGTGATCCCATGTAACTGCTAATAGGAAATCTTGGATTTCTAAAGGGAACTGATACAGTGGGCTGGGACTAGTTCTAAGAGCCTGATGGAAGGTTGGGAAGCTATCAGATAGTGTCACAGTCCTGAGTACTTTACTTGAATGTGTAGTAAGCCTCTTGGAGGAGAGGTGGCCAGCCCTTCCATGCTTTCATTACTAATGAGAATGGAATTATAGTTTCTGTTTCCATTTCAAATCAGTTACCGCTAGTCTAAAGAAAAGCTTCTCAGTTTTGTATATTTATCTTATCTTTAGCCTCTTTGCCAAACTCTCTTATTAATTCTAATAGTTTTAATGGAGTTTATCAGTTTTTTAGTTAAGCAATTATACCATCTGTAAATAAATTTCACACTTTCAATATGACCAATACCAACTGAGGCCCCACTGTGTAAAACCCATTCCTGGGACCCTTTTCAGCCCCCCAGCTTAGTCTCCCTCTTCATGGTTAAAGCAGTTATTCTGTTCAGCCACTGGATGGCAGCGACTCAGCATATCTGTGATACTTGGTTGATTTGTAGGTTTGTCAGAGATACTAGCTGGGCAA